CGTTAGTTATTTTTTAATAAGAATGCATAGCATTAAGTAAGTGGTAAATAAATACTCATTTAGCTATGGTACGAGAACTAAATAGATAAATAGCTATGTTACACTGTTATTAAGTTCTAGTGAGCTCACTAATATAGACGGGAACATAGACTGATGTTATTTTAAAACATTTAGTCCGCTCAGAAGGTCTGTCATTCTCATCAGGGGCACAGTGAACAGACCTGGAAAGAGAGTCAGCGCCGAAAGGGTAAAGCCAACTTGGTCCGGAGAAAACTATAAAACCCGAAACGCGCGCGTTAATAAAGCAGAAAAAAATACAGTTAACCGTGGATGAAATCTTGTTTTTGGACTCTCTTTCCGCACGTTTCAAACCGTGGTACCACAGCTGGCCCTACGTGCTTGAGTTGACTACCATCAATCTATGTTTAAAAAGTTCCGCCGCAGAGAAAACGTTTAAGCTCTAATCAGCAGAAAGGCAACAACACGTTGAAATAGGAAGGACACGACCAGTTTTATTGGGGACGAGAAAAGCTAACATTCAAGAAATAAAGTAGTGGCGGAGAAAAACGAATTACATCACTGTAAACTACGAGACTAAACGTAAACAGCATACTAGAAAAATTAAGCTCGGCAAGGTGCGAGCGGTAAAACTGGCTGTGTCGAGTGACTAACGCGAGAGGCGACAAGGCTTAAATACCGAGATGTGACGTAAAATCCCTAGAGGATCAAACTGCGGCCATAAATGCAAATTCCGAACATAAACACATATGACGAAAGACTCATCGTCATCAAATGACGAAAACAGGGCATAGGATACTGAATGGAACCGGGCTTAAGCGAAGCCCTTGGCAAAGGGAAATTCTTGAACTTATTCCAAATGGCGGCAAATTTTGTTATAATTCCATAGTGTCATAATGATAATTTTGACCCTCGACAACTCGTTTCAAGTTATAAATTGTTTTCAATTCTACAAGTGCAGTCAGGCGAAAAGGGCTAATTAGCATGATATTAAAAAAAAGCAAAAAATAGTCTTAAGAGTAAAAATTCGCGAATCGACAGAGAAGCTGCATTTCCCAAGTTAGCCTGAACAGATTCTTACATAAATGATAATTGGCACAAATGTAAGCTAGTAAGGTTCTTTAATAGATAGATTCTTATATTCTGAAGAAAAAAAAAAGAAAAAATTCTATTTTTTCTTCAGAAAATACGAATATTGACATTGTACATTATAGCTAAGAGTATTTAGTGGTATTCAGCCAAGTCTTAAGCAATACATCTGCATACCAGCATTACATTGCAGTTGGAGTGATAATCACCTGTATTTTCCCAAGTTACACTCTGAACAGGTTCTTCCATAAAAGGTACCAAGCACAAATTTAGGCTATTAAAGTTCTTAAATAGGTTCTTATTTTCTGAAGAAAAAAAAAACACTATGTTTTCTTCAGAAAAGAATGAAGAACAATGACATTGTAGCTAAGGTTCCTTCCACACTAATTCGTTTTCGTTTGAGAACGCATACATTTCGGCGCGTTTGCGCCTTCCGTCTACCTAATACGCTGAGCGTTTTCATCGAAAATTCATCGATTTGAAAACGCTCTTGAAAGTGGATCAAAACGGAAACGGTTATACATCATATCAATGTGGACGGTCGAAGACCGTTGAAAACGCATCAAAACTAAAACGATGACTGGAAATATCGCTTGAAATATCGCAAACGCGTCTGTTTGTAACATGCGCAAAGAGTTCAACTTACGTCTCGATATGTCACAACGTGCCATTCTATCGTCTTCGAACGTTATACGGTGTGGACAGTCGTAAACGCATCAAAACGGTAGTGTGGACAGGGCCTAATGCACCTATCAATGTTAAGCCGGCGGGGGGGAGGGGGGGGGGCGGAGGCAGGGCATGGGGTGGGATTTGACATTTTTCAAAAATTTGTCGTCAAATCCTTTGTGCACGGGCAAATCATTCCAGTCAATTGCAACCAAATTTCGCCACCCCGGGCTGCACATTGTTGTCCATCCCAAGGCTGGACCCAAGAAAGGCACAATAAAAATATCTCCAAATAAAACTCTGTAGTCTTTATTTATAAATGTTGCTGCATCACCAAAGATGCATGTTTTTATTACAGCTGCAATTATACGTTTTAATCATTCAATCCGTGTTTTAATACAATGCGTAGAATCAGGAGCCCATCAAATGGAGCCTCCATCTCCATTAATTTCTTGAGTTAACCCTTTCCCGAGTAGATTTATAATAGAACGGCTTGTTTCCCGCGAAAAGTGTCATATTTCCGCGAGTCTTGTATGTCACCGTGAAAAAATAGAGCTGGATGAAGTCGAACTCAGAAGCCCGTCCTTCGGGCTCCTGGTAGAATACAGAAACCTTTTAGTAAAGGTTACAAAGAAAGTCAGTTTTATAAGCTTTGTTTGGTGATTGTAGTGAATGTCAGCCATACACTGATCAATTGTACCATGCTGCAAAAATCGACTTGGTTTCTCTTTACTTCCGTTTACTTTGATACCACAGTATCTTAAAAGGTTTAATTGATCAATACAATGAAATCCATTCACCTTTGGCTTGTTCTCGTTGGCTTCCATAATTTCCAGATCTTTCCAGACCGTACGTCATGTGCGCAAAGCGTGGATGTTCGGTCTCAGTCTCTTTCGTCCGAGTCGGCGGTCAAATAACCCCACGTCGGTCCCACGTCGGGCAAAGAAATGTTCAATTATTCCCTTCCCCGGGAGAACACGATCGGTCAAATGCCCTACTCCAGGGCCAACAAAGACAATCAAATCCCCACCCCATGCCCTGCCTCCCCCGCTGCCGGCTTTACATTGATAGGTGCATAAGAGTACCAAGTGGTATTCGGCTTTTATTCCTTACATAAAATCTGCCCACCGTTACGTTGCAATACGTTGAAGTGATAAGGCACGTATGTCTCCAAAGAGGATCTTGAATTGACTTATCTCTTTTGCCTAAGTGTACAGAATTTTTTAAATATAGATTTTAGCAAATAGGAACCTGTTTCAAGTTTTAGGCTAACCAGGTTCTTGTATATAGGGGACCCAACGTGACTAGCAAATTTCCGCTTAACAGATTCTTGAACCAGGTTCTCTGTCTCGCGGGTTCATACTGTATTGCCCCCATCAGTGAAATTAAGTGTCTGGCCTGTGCTTAACACAGGGCTAACAGTTTGGACATGACAGCAATGAAGATAAATTAGTAACAGGACATGGTGGAATGAATGGCGAGTACTGATCATGAGTCAAACTGAGTTAAGAAGAAATACTTGGGTCACCTTCTCGCCATTTTAAACCATGGCTAACATAACATAACTTGAACTACTTTCAAAAGAAGACATCACGTCTTTACCACCTTCGACGCACGTATAAGAAATTTAAAATGTAAAAATAAAAATGCCCTAGAAGATTTAATCCTCGAGATATATTTCGCTCTTCGAGCCTCGTCAGTCAAGGCTCGAAGAGCGAAAAACACACGCACACAAGAGTAGATACAGGGGCCTGTAGGTATAGTGTTTTTCACTTAAGGATTAACGATTAAGAATATTAATAAATTTGTTTGTCTAACCGACTTTTTAAAAAACTAACCTAACGAAATTTGCAGTCATTTGAGTGAAAAGGCGTCAAAAAGATGGTTTCTTAAGCCCGAAAAGCTCCAAAATCACAGTAACGAAGGAAAAGGAAAGCAGAAAAAGAAAGAGTGAGGAGGAGGAAAGGCGGAGAAGAGAAAAAAAGCAATGGTTGCACTCTTAGTTTTCATAATAGCTACTTCAAGAGTAATTTTTGGCCGAAAAAAACTGTTGGACTCAAAAGATCCATTTGGCGATAACGTTTTAAAAAATCCGGCTAGATGTAAGTATGTGTGTATCTATGAGTGTATGCATGTATGTATGTACAAGAAGACTGATGGAACTAAATTAACTCTTGAACATATGTATGTATGTCAGCAAGGACCTCAAAGCTAGTTTATTGGAAAATCCGCTGTAAGCTTATAAGACCGTCCTTTGTAGCATAGCGACTCGCTTTGACGAAAAAACAAACTTCTAAAGAAACAAAGTGCGACATCCCCGGTAGCCTTCCACGTAGACGTTCTGAGGGGGACTAGCAGAAAATAGGGAAGGTATGCCCCCCCCCCCCCCCCCCCCCCCCCTCCCCCACTCCTGCTGAAATCAGCTGCGTTGTCATCAACTTGGGGGCAGAGGTACACGAAAACAAACGACTGCCAAATGCCTACAAATAAATACAACTCAAATTGACAAATAAAATAAGAATTAGGTGTCCGAATGAATGCTGACCTAGACTGATTCGAATTTGCAAGGAACAACCAAACATATCTCAGAAGGCTACCTACAATTCC